TCCAGGGAGGCCCGTGGTCTGAGTGGAGAGGGAAGGGGGATGGCCTGGTGAAGCAGGGCGTGAGAAGGACAGACGAGACAGTCATCACAGGAAAGGAGCCGGACTGGGCACGCCTGCAGGGCCCAGAGGGAACGCAGCTGCAGAAATGCAGGTGTGAGGCGTCCAGGCCGTGGCCATGGCCTGGAGAGAGAAGCTTAGCCCATAAGGCCCAGCGCTGGAGGGGCCAAGATCAACTCTGGGTGGTGCGATCCAAGGACAGGGAGAGGCTTAGTCAGGAGGGGAGTTTACCCGGGGCTGGAGGGCAGAGGAGGGAATGGAGGATAGATAAGGGCTGGTGACTCAGAGCCTATGGCCCAAACCTGCGCAGTGCCACTTGGATGTCACCAGAGAAGATCAAGGTTAGGGCTGGGGTTGGGCAGAACTGGAGCAGAAACAACTGAGCAAAGCCGGGGGAGGCAAGGCTGCAGTTTCCACGAGCGGTGCCCCAGGACTGCCTAGGCCACTGCCGTCCGGGTGGGGCAGGCAGAGGACCTAAAGTTCCCGGTGGACAGTGGAGCCCAGGAGGGTGCCTGAGACCCTTGCAAGTGGGTGTAACATACAGGCGGACTCCAGTGCACACTTTCAGGGCTTCCTCTATGCTGGTCACCTTTCCAGGGCCATAAATGAACTCAACAAGCCTGTGAAGCGGATGTTGTTCTTGTCCCAAATTTACAGATGAGTGACCTGAAGCACAGAGAGAATGGCCAAGGTCCCACAGTTAGGAAATAGCAAAACTGGGGCCCCAGAAACATGTAGGGCTCAGCCTGGGCCTGGAGGTGATGGCAGCGTTTGTCAGTGAGGAGGACCTGGGGAAGGAGGTGCTGCTGGAATTCTACCCTCTGCATCTGGGGGACTGTGGGGTTGTTCACGTTCTCATGAGTGTCCCTGTGCAAGGCAGTAAGAACACAGGTGCTGACAAGGGCACCACCTGGGCCAGCCGCCTGGCTCAGGGACAGCAGGCACCATCCTGACCAGCACCGTGGTGAGCCAAGGTGCAGGAGGCCTGGTTCTCGTGGGCTCTGCATCCTGGGGTGCTCCAGCTGCACTCGGCTGCCTACTCTCTCCGCACTGCAGCCAGCCTGACATGGCTCTCAGGAGCCAGCTCTCCTGGTGGGTCAGTCACCCCCTAGGCGGAACTGGGACAGTCTCATTTGCCTCCTCTCTCCCTCCTGACTTCTGAAACAAATCTGCAGTTTGCTTTTTTTTTTTTAAATTACTTCCTGGCCCTGCCTCTGACCCTGCCCCATCTCCTGCAGTGCAGGGTCACTGGGCAGTGCAGGGGCTGAGGAGAAGGGGCCCTGGCACGTGTCTACTGGGCCTTGTTCTTGCTAGGGCTGATCTGAAGCAGGTGACCCCTGACTATGCCAGGTTTCTGGATCACATCCTGCTCCTTCGAGTTCCCAGGTCCCTGTGTCTCCTAAAAATAAAGGTGCCACTCACTGGGCCCTTCCCAGGCACCGAGCGCCATGCTGTGGGCTTTCAGGCACGGTCTCATTTGATCCTTCTAATAATCCCAGGAGGAGAGTGATCCTGCGTCCCCATTTTTCTAGATGTGTTCACAGAGGCTCAGAGGGATGAGACTTGCCCTAGATCATGCACCCAGTAAGGGGCCAGGTAGGACCTGAATTTTCCCTCTGAACCCCCAACCTCCTGATGTCTATTTTCAGCCAGTTTAACTTCAGGCACGGGAAGCCCACCTAAGAGTTTGTTTTGAGTCCATGTTTGTATCAACCATGCCTCACGCTTCTTCAGATGATACGAAGGTGAGAGGAGAAACTCCTAAGCTGGATGGGCCAGGATTAAGGCGGAGAATATTTCAGGAGGAAGGAAAGGAAGGCCAGTCTGAACGAGGTGGCATCCGTGGGGGGGACTGTGAGGGTCTGCAAGTGCATTTGAAATCGCCATTGCACAAGGGCAGGATGGGGAAATGGTTAGGGGCTTTAGTGGACTGCCAGCCTGATGCCAATCTGTGTACCTGATGCTGATAAAGCCAATGCCCTCATCGGCTATATAAACAGGAGCATCATGACCAGCACAGGGGAGAATGCACATCCCTGACCACCTCACTGATTGCTGTGTTTGAATCCAGATGCCATATGTTAAGACTAATACTGAAAAACACAAGGCTACTTGGATGAGGGCAGCGAGAGAGGTGGCAGAGGTTAGTTAGGAGGTGGGGGGGGCAGGGTCTATGGGAAGGATGTCATATTAAAATAGAAAAAGAGGTGATGTGGTATGGGTGGTAGTAAACACAGGCATATTTGGCTCATTATATACAGCGTCTGAAGACTAAACTATGGTAAATAATGAATATATGTTAAATAAATAAAATGGCATATATATGATTTATGGAAGCTCTAAATAAATGTATGTAGCAGAAATTTAGCTAGCATTTCAGTAAATATTTGAATTTTTAAAAGAATAATAAAAGGTACTAGGATGCCTAGTCCAAATGGAAAGACGTACTAGTCGCATTATATGAAGCCCAATAAATATGCTCAGGGCCCACAGGCTGCTGAGAATCTGGAAGACAGATTTGGAGAGGGGCAGAAGGCAGCTATAGGCTAGATACAAGGAAGAACTTCCTAATGATGAGTGTGGTCATGTAGGGAATGAAGTGCAGGAGGAGGAGGGATTCCCTGTCCCTTAGGGGGTGCCAGCAGAAGCTGGAAGAGCTTAGTTGGCATCCAGGGGCTCCCTGTAGTCAGGGAGAGGAGTTTTCCGTGCACCCAGTTGGAGAGTCCATGAGACATAGCTGTGCCGTGTTGGTAAGGCATGCTCCAACCAGAAGTGCCGAAAGCTCCAGGGCGCCCTCATCTTGGGTTGAAGTTGGGTTTGCATCATCATCGCCTGTTTTCCAAGGGCTTGGCCTGTGAAGGCTCTGATGGGGACTTGAAAGAGTTTGCTTCCCACCTGCTTGCTTGCGGCTGACATCCCTCTTCCTAGTTGTCAGTGTCTGTTCTGGCCACGAACCCCTCCAGAGCTCAGACACCAGGATTGAACTCTGGTACCCACATGTGGCTGTGAGCAGTGGGGAGGCAGGACCCTGAGAGATACCCTGAAGGCTCCTGTCCGTGGGGCTAGGGATGGCAGGAGGGGGATGAGATGTCCCGAGGATCTCTGAGTCCAGCCTGTGAGTGATGCCATGTCTTGCTCTAGCCTTTAGGCTGGGACCACTGGGTAGGAACGCAGCCTGGCAGGAGAGAATTGGAAGAGAACCTGGCAGCCGAAGAGATTGAAGAAAGGCTGACCCAGGTGTGCCTAAGGCTGGGAGCACTGGATGCCTTCAAACAGAGGTGCCGTGGGACATTCTGTGTGTCCGAAAAAGCACTCGCAGTTTGGTAAATCAGTTGCAGAATGCAAGATTTGAAAGTAGTGGACCAATCAAGAGAGGGGGGTGGAAATGGTACTGGCCCTGGGGATGGTCAGAAGTGGTGAGATTAGAGAAGGACATTGACATGCTGCCAGCAGTACTGAGTGATGAGTTATGGCTGCCTTGAGGATGGCGCCTTGTGCATGAGAGACACAGCATCGTGCAGCCTGTGTGATTGGCAGCTACTGAGATTATGACCAGAAAGCCAGGGAAGACCTCTAATGTGCCTCACTTTAAAAAAATCTTATTATACTTTTTTTGAAAAATAATTTCAAAGCAAAATAAATTACATGAAAAGTTGCAACAATAGTAGAAAGAAACTCTTCCCAGTCCACTTAAAAGAAGTACCCCACCCGACACACCCCACCGAAGCATCATTTCACGTATATCTTCTAAAGCAAGAACGTTCATCATCACGACCATCCGATCCAGACCCTCACCCTGAACGTGTCACTACCGCCGGGTCCCCAGACCTCACTCTGGTTTCCACAGTTCTCCCAATAACCTCATTTATAGCAAAAAGACGGCCACAGGTCACGTTTGAACACATCCTTTCGCCTCTTTCAGTTTGGAAAGGTTTATCAGTCTTTCCTTGGCTCTTATGGCCTTTGAGTGTTTGGATCTGGCAAGAGAGCTACTTTGAGCAATGCTCCTAATTTGCTGTTTTCTCTTGATTAGATTTGGACCATAAGTCTTTGTTGGAACCATAATGGGAGGATGCTGGTTTCTCGCTGCATCCGACCAGGCTCATGGGATTCTCTGTGTGGCCTCTTACTGACAATGTCCACTTGGATCATTTGACTAAGGAGGCAGCTGTCAGCTTCTTCCCTGTAAGAGTATTCCTTTCTCTTTGTCACTAGGAAGGATGCTGTGGGAGAGGCTCTTAGAAAGCATGGAAGTATCCCATTTCTCATCAAGCATTCACCCACTACTTTTAGCACCCACGGATGGTTCTCAGTGGAATGAAGCACCACTGCGAGGGCAGCCACAGAGAGCCTGCCTCATGTATTTGCCTAATGAATGAATCTGCACTTCGTTGCCCAAGAGGTGGGTGGAGTGACCACAGCTCCTCATGCCACCAGGTCCTTTTCTCATGCAAGCCCAGCACAGGGCCAGGGTGGGAGCAATGCTGCTTCCGTGCACCTGCCTGACTGCATCCCCCGTCTGTGCATGAGCAAGCTCCGGGACTCCCCTAGGACTTGCAGCAAAGCCAGATCTCCTACCAGGAACAACATGCAGCCCTTCAGGGTCCATGAAGGGTTTTAAGTCGGGGAAGGTGACACATTTGATTTACGTTAAGCGAAACCAAACCAAACCAAAACAAAAGCGAACACCCTGGCTGTTGTGCCCACAGCTTGGAGTGGTTCAGATTTACAGTCAGGCAGACCAGTGAAGACTCAGAGAGGTTGTTTGGGAAGCCTGGGTAGAGACCGTATTTTCAAGCGTGTGAGGAGGCCCAATGCCAGGGAAAGGCAGGAAGGGGCCCTGGCTCCTCCCAGGCTGCCAGGGCTGTGAATGGCAGGGGAGTCCTACGTGCACCCACCCATCCCACCAGCCTCTGCTAACTCCTGCCCTGGACACCCCTTACCTTTGGTTTCCTTTAGCAGCTCTTCCGTGAACTTGACCACCTGGGCCACCTCCACCCATGGGAAGCCTTTGCCCACTGCAAAGATGATGCTCTCGTAGAGGGTGTCCAGCAGGATGCTCCTCCGGGAGTCTCTCTGTTCGTCAAACTCCTCCCAGTTCAGAAGCCTCCGCAGGCGCTCCCGACCTTGTGGTCTCTGCAGGGCATGACATGGGAATTGCAGGGTGTGATATGGGGTTTGCAGGGCATGATATGGGGGCAGCAGGGTGTGATATGGGGTTTGCAGGGCTTGATATGGGGGCAGCAGGGTGTGACATGGGGTTTGCAGGGCGTGATATGGGGGCAGCAGGGTGTGATATGGGGTTTGCAGGGCGTGATATGGGGGCAGCAGGGTGTGACATGGGGTTTGCAGGGCGTGATATGGGGGCAGCAGGGTGTGATATGGGGGTTGGAGGGCATGATATGGGGGCTTCAGGGTGTGACATGGGGGCTGCAGGGTATGATATGGGGTTTGCAGGGCAAGATATGGGGTTTGCAGGGCATGATATGGGGGCTGCAGGGTGTGATATGGGGTTTGCAGGGCATGATATGGGGGCTGCAGGGTGTGATATGGGGTTTGCAGGGCTGTATGGGGGCTGCAGGGTGTGATATGGGGGCTGCAGGGCGTGATATGGGGGCTGCAGGGTGTGATGGGGCTGCAGGGCGTGATATGTGGGCTGCAGGGTGTGATATGGGGGCTGCAGGGCATGATATGTGGGCTGCAGGGTGTGATATGGGGGCTGCAGGGCATGATATGGGGGTTGCAGGGTGTGATATGGGGGCTGAGGGGCGTGATATGGGGGTTGCAGGGTATGATATGGGGTTTTGGGGTATGATATGGGGGTTGGAAGGTTTGATATGGGGGTTGGAGGGTTTGATATAGGGGCTGCAGGGTATGATGTGGGGGCTGTGGGGTACGACATGGGGGTTGTGGGGTATGATACGGGAGCTGTGGGGTAAGATATGGGGGTTGTGGGGTACGACATGGGGGTTGTGCAGTATGACACAGGGGTTGCAGGGTATGATATGGGGGTTGTGGGGTATGATATGGGAGTTGTGAGGTATGATGTGGAGGTTGGAGGGTATAATACGGGGGTAGTAGGGTATGATATGGGGGTTGCGGGGTATGATATGGGGATTGTGGGGTATGATATGGGGGTTGTGGGGTATGATATGGGAGCTGTGGGGTATGATGTGGGGGTTGGAAGATATGATACGGGGTTGTGGGGTATGATATGGGGGTTGTGGGGTATGATATGGGGGTTATGGGGTATGATATGGGGATTGTGGGGTATGATATGGAGGTTGTGGGGTATGATATGGGGATTGTGGGTTATGATATGGGAGTTGTGGGTTATGATATGGAGGTTGGAGGGTATGATAT